GAATAATCGTATGTCCCCATGGATTTCATTTCTGGGTTTCATTTCCACTTGTCTGTCATTTCTGAGAGGGAACCACTTCAGTTTCAACCCTGATCACTGTCCTTCTCCAGTGACGAACACCAAGCAAGGAGCACACACCAATGTCATCTCAGAAACTCGTCCTTGGTTCCAGTTTTCCTTCCACTTGAACTTCCTAAGACCTGCTGATACCCAGCACCTTCTTTCTTGGAGAGGCTGTATTGGGGGCAGGAGGAAGAGCACTGGATTTGGAGTTATAAGATTTGAATTCAAGGCACTGTGTGAGCTTGGGCATTGCCTCTTCGAATTCCATTTCTATAGAGGCAATCATCTTATTTACTTTATAAAGCCACATTATGTTATGCTCACATGATATCATATGTGAATTTTTGTTTGTAAATCACACAGTACTTTCTAAATCTCAGGTCCTATAGATTGGTGTGTATTTTTTTTTTTTTTTTTTTTTTGAGATGGAGTCTTGCTCTGTCGTCAGGCTAGAGTGCAGTGGCACAATCTCAGTTCACTGCAACCTCTGCTTCCCAGGTTCAAGCGATTCTCCTGCCTCAGGTTCCCAAGTAGCTGTGATTACAGGTGTGTGCCACCAGGCCTAGCTAATTTTTGTATTTTTGGTAGAGACAGGGTTTCACCATGTTGGCCTGGATGGTCTCGATCCCTTGACCTCGTGATCTGCCCACCTCGGCCTTCCAAAGTGCTGGAATTATAAGCATGAGTCACCATGCCCAGCCAGTGTGTAACTTTTATAGCACAAGCTAAACACACACACACACAGACACACACACACACACACGCACACCTATTTTTGAGACGAGGTCTTGCTCCATTGCTCAGGCTGGAGTGCAGTGGTTCAATCATAGCTCACAGCAGCCTTAACCTCCCAGGCTCAAGTGATCCTCCTACCTTAGCCTCCTGACTAGCTGGGACTGTAGGCACATGCCACCATCCACAGCTAATTGTTTTTAATGTTTTTATTTTTGTAGAGATAAGTTTTTATTTTTTCATTTTTATTTTATTTTCGTCTTGAACTCCTGGGCTCAAGCAGTCCTCCCACCTTGACCTCCCAAAGTGAACACAGGTTATATTTGATCACAATTATTTGTTTCTATGCACATCTCTCGATGAGAGCCTGGGAGCTCCTTGAGGCAGGGCTCTATTAAACTTTGAGCCCCCTAGTGCTTGATTTCAGGCCCAAGCAAATACTTATACAAATAATGATTATCCTACTAAAACATACTGCATGTACTGTATGTCCAGCACTGTTCTAATGTATTGATTCATTTAATTCTTATACCACCCCCAGAAGATATATTACTATTATGAAGTTACGTATAATAGGTGCTCAGCAGACATCTAGGGTCTAGGGCAGCGCTTCTCCAACTTCAACATGCATAGGAACCATCGGGGAATCTTGATCTTGTTAAAATACATATCCTGGCTGGGAGTGGTGATTCACGCCTATAATCCCAGCACTTTGGGTGGCCAAGGCAGGAGGATTGCCCGAGCCCAGTATTACACATGCTTTATATGAAGAGACTCCCTAAACAGGCTTTGTGTGAGCGACATGGCTGTTTATTCACCTGGGTGCAGGCGGGCTGAGTTTGAAAAGAGAGTCAGTGGAGGGAGGTGGGATAGGAGTTGTTTTATAAGTTTGGGGTAGGTGGTGGAAAGTTACAGAAGTTACAGTTCAGGGTGGTTCCTGTAAACTGGTAGGAGGTCATAGGGTCTGGAGTCACAAGGTTGACCTATCAGTTGAGTAAGGTCAGTTACAAAGTCCAGTTGTCTTATCAGTTGAGGAGGGAATAAGGAACAATAGAAGAATGTCTCAAAGTTAATTAGGTGCCACAGGGGTTGGTCATTCTTCTCCTTTTGTAGTTTTCTAGTTACTTTAAACTTTCTAGTTCCAGGAATGCATCTGAAGGTGTATGTGAAGGTCACAGAGGTTACCATGCAGTCCATGGCATAGTCAGTCAGCCTAAAAGACCTTATCCCTAGGAGTTCAAAACCAGCCTGGGTAACATAGTGAGACCTTGTCTCTACAGAAAGGACAGCTAATTTTTAATTTTTTGTAAAGACGGGATGTCACCATGTTACCCAGGCTGGTTTATTAGCTAGATGTGGAGGCACACACCTGTGGTCCCAGCTACTCTGGAGGCTTAGGTGGGAGAATTGCCTGAGCCTAGGAGGTAGAGGTTGCAGTGAGCTGTGATTGCCCCACTGCACTCCAGCCTGAGTGGCAGAGCAAGACCCTGTCTCAAAAATACCCCCCAACCATCCCCCTCCAAACAGCATGACTCTGTAGGACTGGCTGGAGTCCTATAACTTTCAACAGGCTTTCAGGTGATGTTATAGTCAGCAGACACTATAAAACATCTAGATCATTTAACATTTTCTCAAATAGAAAACATCCAGGCTGGGCATGGTGGCTCATGCCTCTAATCCCAGCACTTCCAAAGGCTGAGGTGGGCAGATCACCTGAAGTCAGGAGTTTGAAACTAGCCTGGCCAACATGGCAAAACCCCATCTCTACTAAAAACACAAAAATTAGCCAGGTGTCGTGGTGGGTGCCTGTAATCCCAGCTACCCAGGAGGCTGAGACAGGAGAATTGCTTGAACCAGGGAGGCGGAGGTTGCAGTGAACTGAGATCATGCCATTGCTCTCCAGCCTGGGCAACAGAATGAGACTGTCTCAAAATAATAATAATACTAAAAAAGAAAGAAGTGAAAAGAGCCAGTCCCCTGTGGGACAGAGGTAGGGGTGGGAAGCACACTGGAAAAAACAACTCACCTCTTATTTTGGGAGTAAGGGGATTATAGATCCTCAAATTTGACATTCTTGCAGGGACAGGGAAGTCAGTCCACCAAAGGCAGCTTTTCACGTCTCATTAGAACAGCCCGTTCTCACAGTCTCTAGGAAATAAATAGGGCACACATTTTCCAATGTTAGGAATGGAGCTTTGGACTGGGGCCACATGTCTGGGCTTAACAGGGTGCCTGGCCACAGCTGCCAAATCACCTGGAGTCTCCCATCCAGGGAGGGTTAGGAGACCTTCCTAAGGCAGCACCGGTACAGGCAGAGCTGAGGCCAGCTCCCCTAGAGGGTGGATGGCTCCCCAAGGGCAGTGGAAGCAGGGGATGTGCAGATGAAACGTGGCCTTCGAGTCAGACAGAGCTGACTTCAAATGCAGCTTTGCCACTTACTAGCAGTATAACCAGAGGCAAGTTACTCCCCCTTGCAGTTTTGTTTTCTCAGTGCAGCCCAGAAATAATACCAACCATACAGCTTTGGCTGGGAAATGGAAACCCCTGGAGAATTTCAAACAGAACTACTTTAATGCAGGGAATTGGTTACATGGATGATGGCAGAGCTTGGAGGCAAAGTGGAGGAGACACTCCAGGCAATCCAGAGAGCAGCAGGAAGACAATTGTGAGTGGGGAGGATGCAGGGAGGAGGTGGTGTTACTGAAGCCCAGGGGTCAGGTCACCAGGTGGGGCTGGACCCACGGGGGCTGGTCCAGTGGCCACACACAGCTCTTGCCAGAGTGCTATCTGAGGCAGAGAGGGAGGAGGAGAAATAGCCCAGCTTCTCCCTATCCCTAACCCTCCAATCTCCCACCACTGCCTCCAATGGCTGGACCCACCCAGTAGGAAGCTGGGAAACGCAGCTGGCAGGGGAAGTAGCTGAGGGCCAGTAGGCTCAGGACCTGCACAAGGGCTCAAGGCCACAGTAGGAAGGCTTGTGTAAGGCGTCCGCAGCATGTTGCTCAGCACATCGACAAAGCAGGTGCCCTTTCCTGTGCCCTGGACACAACCAGCCTTCCTGTATTAACTGTGTCTTCTGTGATGATGTTTTGGCCATCAGCGGTTTCTCTCTCAACATCCCTGTGTGTTGGAAACTTCAGGCTCTGTAACTCAACTGACTTCTTTTCCCCTAGCCTTTTGGGATCTTGGGATGTGTAGGGGTGGGTTCTTCCAACCAAAGGACCACCAGGGGCCAGGGGAAGTGGCTGAGGCTGAATGCAGGGACATTGGCAAAAGTGAGGGCCTGGACAGACCTGACTGTGGTGTTCATTTGTTCGTTCATTCATTCATTCGTTCATTCATTCATTCGTCTCTTATCAATCAGCTATTGATCTAGAACCACACTAAATGCTAGGACTGCAGATGGTGTCCCAGTCTTGTGGGTAAGACATGCCTGTATATTAACATTTCAGTCAGGGCTATTTTGGTTGTAAGAAATAGAACCCATTCGGAAAATGCAAATGAGAAGGAGTTTTATTGAAAGGGATTAGGGAATGTGATGAAGTTAATTGAGGAAGTGCAGGTAGACCTCCTATGAACTGGCCTCATCCTCTCTGCCTCTCTGAGCTCCATGCACCTCTGCAAACCAGATCACATGTTGTTTCTGCTCCCCTAACTTACGGGTGACTTTTGACTCCCCAGGGTATCAACTGGCTCAGATCACGATTCCTTGAGACCATATAAGTCCAGTGCATTCTTACCAATTCACTAAAATTGGTGGACTCTTAGGTTAAATTACTGAGAGAACTTAACCTGACCAGCTCACTTGAGTCAGACTTCCTATCCCATCCGGGTGGCCAGGCCAGGTAGTGGGCACAGGGGAAGGGTCTTACAGCTTGCCCTTTGGAGGAACAGGTTCTGAGAAGAAAGCTGTGGGTAGGAAAGGCAATGAAACATGTTTCTTGCTGGGAATAATTGCAAATCTGGCCTAAGGGGAAAATGGATTCAGGAAAGCATTTAAAATAGTAATAGGGATCATTTATCAAGACTTTATGTGTCAAACACTATATAAAGCACTTTTTATACATTTACCTCTTTTAACACTCAGCAGTCATTATTATTATCCCCATTTGCCCATTTTACAGATGAGGAAGCTGAGGTGTCGGAGTTTAGATAAGGTTGCCTGGAGTCACATGGTGCAGGCGGCAGCAGCAGGGGCAAAATTGTCACTTTGGCAGTACATATACCAAGCCTGGAACAATACAGAGAAGCTTAACATGGTCCTGCCCAAGGATGACACACAAATTTGTGAAGCTTTCCATGTATTTCTAAAATTCTCTTAAAAAAATTCTTGGCCAGGCATGGTGGCTTACACCTGTAATCCCAGCACTTTGGGAGGCTGAGGTGGGTGGATCATGAGGTCAGGAGTTTGAGACCAGCAGGGCCAACATGGTGAAACCCCGTCTCTGCTAAAAATACATTAAAAACTAGCAAGGCGTGGGTGTGCCTGTAATTCCAGCTACTTGGGAGGCTGAGGCAGGAGAATTGCTTGAATCTGGGAGGCCGAGGTGGTAATAAGCCACGATCACACCACTGCACTCCAGCCTGGGTGACAGAACAAGACTCCCGTCTCGGAAAAAAAAAAAAAATTCTTGTCTCTGAGCCACGTGCCTGAGTCCTGTGCTTGGCAGCTTTCACAGAGAGCAGAAGCAGATGAGAAATGGCGGTCGGGCCATTTTCTCTCTGACAAGCTCCAGGAATACTCTCCAGAGAGATATGTTCCTTTCCTGTGGCTGCAGAGATCACCGGCCACCTTTAGCAGGACCTCTCTCTCCCTTTCCCTCCTTTTGTTCAAGGATTTCAGGTGCATGGACTTGGGAGGCTGATGTCCCCCTTTTGATGGCTTGCTGTCACCACCCATCTGGACTCGAATCCTCTTTTGAGATTATCGTGGTTGTGTCTTTCTCCTTTCTCCAGGTCCTAATCCGAGTCTCCTCCCCCATAGGCATCCGCTCCGGGGTAAACAACACAGGTTCTTCCAATTTCCTTTGTGCGCTGTTCTTTTGTACGCGTCATGTTTGGGAAGTGTCTGTGTTAAGGGTTGTTTTTCAGGGTGGATGTTGTTTTTAATTTTTTAAGGTCATAAATAACATCATTTCTTTCTTCTTTTACTTTTCAGTAAACTTTATATTTTAGAATAGAATTGGAATTACAGAGATTTGTAAATACACTGCAGAGAGTTCCTAGATGCCTCATTCTCACTTCTGCCTCTTATTAACATATAATGGGGTACATTTGTCACAATTGATGAACCAATATTGATATATTATTAGTAACTCATCTATACTTTTTCAGATTCCTTTAGTTTAGTTTTTTTTTAATTGTTCTCTGAGACAGGGTCTCACTCTGTCACCCAGGCTGGTGTGCAGTGGCGCATTCATGTTTCAGCTGCAGCCTCTACTTCTCCAGACTCAGGTGATCCTGCCACTTCAGCCTTCCGAGTAGATGAGACCGCAGATTTGAGGCACCATGAATGGCTAATTTTTTTTTTTGGTGGAGATGGGGTTTTGCCATGTTGGCCAGGCTAGCCTAGAACTCCTGGGTTCAGGAGATCTGCCACCTGCCTCAGCCTCCCAAAGTGCTGGGATTACAGGTACTGAGCCAGGCTGGCTGGCCTTATTTCCTTCATTTTTACCTGGCATCCTTGTTCTGTTCTAGGATCTCATCTAGGAGACATTACATTTACTCCTGAGGCTTCTCTGCTGGGACAGTTCCTCAGGCTTTCCTTGGTTTTTGATGATCTTGACTGTTTTGAGGAGTACTGGTTGGGTATTTTGTAGAACGTTTCTCAGCTGGGATTTGTCTGGTGATTCTTTCGTGGTTAGACTGGGATTATGGGTTTGTGAAGGGGAGACCACAGAGGTGTGCCGCTATCTTCATTACATCATATCGAGGCCCCCTTTGGCTGGGGATTACATCATTCCTATCTCTGTCTGTGTGGTCACACCCCTCCTCTTCTCTCTGTCAAATCACCCTCTATCTCTCTTCTAAGGATGCTTGCATTGGATTTAGGGACTACCCAGGTAATTCAGGATGATCTCATCCCAAGGTCTTTAACTCAACCTTCTACAAAGACCCTTTTTTTCCAAATAAGATCATATTGACAGGTTCCAGGAATTTGGATGTAGATGACCGTTTTTTTTTTTTGAGACAGTGTCACTATGTTACCCATGCTGGAGTGCAGTGGTGCCATCTTGGCTCACTGTGGCCTTTGCCTCCTGGGTTCAAATGATTTTCCTGCCTCAGCCTCCAGAATAGCTGGGATTACAGGTGTGTGCCACCATGCCTGACTGATTTTTGTGTTTTTAGTAGAGACAGGGTTTTACCGTGTTGGCCAGGCTGGTCTCAAACCCCGGGCCTCAAGCGATCTGCCCACCTTGGCCTCCCAAAGAGCTGAGATTACAGGCATGAGCTTCCACACCTGGCCTAGACTTACCTTTTTGAGGGTCACCATTCAACCCACTATACTCACATGTCAATTTTATCTTTCATGGATTGAGCTTTTGGTGTATCTTAAAACTCCTTACTAAACCTAAGGTCATGCATGTTTTCTCCTAGGTTTTCTTCTAAAAGTTTTATAGTTTTGCATTTTACATTTAGATTCATGATCCATTTTGAGTACATTTTTGTGTAAGGTGTTAGGTCTGTGTCTAGGTTCTTTTTTTTTTTTTTTCATATGAATGTCTCTTTGACCCTGCACTTTTTGTTGAAAAGATGATTCTCTCTTCATTGAATTGCCTTTGTACCTTTGTAAAAAAAAACATTAGTTGAATACAGTTGGCCTATTATTTGTGCTCTCTTCTGTTCCATGGATTTATGTTTTTATTCTTTCACCAATACCATGCAATCTTGATTGTTGTGGTCTTATAGTGAGTCTTTATTTTTTTGAGACGGAGTTTCGCTCTTGTTACCCAGGCTGGAGTGCAATGGTGCGATCTCGACTCACTGCAACCTCTGCCTCCTGGGTTCAGGCAATTCTCCTGCCTCAGTCTCCTGAGTAGCTGGGATTACAGGCACACGCCACCATGCCCAGCTAATTTTTTGTATTTTTAGTAGAGACGGGGTTTCACCATGTTGACCGGGATGATCTCAATCTCTTGACCTCTCGATCCACCCGCCTTGGCCTCCCAAAGTGCTGGGATTACAGGCGTGAGCCACTGCGCCTAGCCCTGAAGTGAGTCTTAAATTGGGTAATGTGAGTCCTTTGTTGTTCTTTAGTTTTGTGTTGGCTATTCTAGGTTCTTTGCCTTTGTATATAGATTTGAATCAGTTTGTTGATACCTACAAAATAGCTTTTGAGCTTTTGATTGGGAATCTGTATCCAGTTGGGAAGAATTGACATTTTACCAATATTGAGTCACCTAATCTATAAACATTCCAATCCAATCTTCATTTATTTTTTATTTTTATTTTTTGAGACAGAGTCCCACTCTGTTGCCCAGGATAGAATGCAGTGTCAAAATCTTACTGCAACCTCTGCCTCCTGGGTTCAAATGATTCTCCTGCCTCAGCCTCCTGAGTAGCTGGGATTACAGGCATGCACCACCATGCCCAGCTAATTTTGTATTTTTAGTAGAAATGGGTTTCTTCATGTTGGCCGGCTGGTCTCGAACTCTTAAACTCATGTGATCTCCCACCTTGGCCTCCCAAAGTGCTTGGATTACAAGTGTAAACCACTGTGCCTGGCCACTTTTGCTTTCCTTACATAAATCCAAGTTTCTGACTTATATAGTCTTCCTTCTGCCTGAATAACAACTTTTTTTGAGATGAAATCTCACCCAGGCTGGAGTGCAGTGGTGCATTCTCAACTCACTGTAACCTCCGCCTCCTGGGTTCAAGTGATTCTCCTGCCTCAGCCTCCCGAGTAGCTGGGAATACAGGAGCATGCCACCACACCTGACTAATTTTTGTATTTTTAGTAGAGACAGGGTTTCACCATGTTGGCCAGGCTGGTCTGGAACTTCTGGCCTCAGGTGATCTGCCTGCCTTAGCCTCCCAAAGTGCTGGGATTATCGGCGTGAGCCACCATGTCTAGCCAATAACTTCTTTTAACATTTCTTGCAGGACAGATTGTGGGCAATGGATTCTGTCAATTTTTGTTTGAGAAAAATCTTTATTTCTCCTTCACTTTTGAAGGATAAATTTGCTGGATATATGTAAAATTCTAGGTTGGTGGGTTTTTGTATTTCCAATGTCTCACTTTCAACTTTTGTGACACTGCTGGCATCCATTCACTTTAAATGTTTCTCCTCTTCTTTTTTGCATATGTTTATGTCAAAAAGTCTGCCGTAACTCTTAACTTTGTTCTTCTACGAGGTGGTATTTCCTACATCCAGCCTTCTCCAGCTTCTTTTAAGATTTTTTCTTTGTCTTTGGTTTTCTGTAGTTTACTTATTCATTTATTTTTTGAGGGGCATGGCTTGAAGAGAGACAAGCAGCAGGTTTTTTTCACAAAATTTTATTTTATTTCAATAGTTTTTGGGGAACAAGTGGTTTTTGATACCATGGACAAGTTCTTTAGTGGTGATTTCTGAGATTTTGGGGCACTCATCACCCAAGCCATGTACATTGTACCCAGTGTGTAGTCTTTTATCCCTTACCCCTCCCCCACCCTCTTCCCTGAGTCCCCAGAGTTCATTACATCATTCTTATGCCTTTGCATCTTGATAGCTTGGCTTTCACTTTCAAGTGATGATGTATGATGTTTGGTTTTCCATTCCTTGGTGACTTCACTTAGAATAATGGTCTTCAATTACATCCAGATTGTTGTGAATGTCATTATTTTGTTCTTTTTTATGACTGAGTAGTATTCCATGGGAGATGTGTGTGTGTGTGTGTGTGTGTGTGTGTGTATACACATATATATATACACAGACACACATACGGATATAACTCCTATGGAATATATATCCCACGCAGAAATGGGATATCTGGATCAAATGGTAGTTCTACTTTTAGTTCTTTCTATAGTTTAAATATGATGTACCTAGGTGTTTTTTGTTTGTTTGTTTGGGTATTTATTCTGCTTGTTATTTTCTTTTTTTTTTTCTCTTTGACCTAGATAGACCAGGACTGCTTGGTATTTTCTAAGCTTCCTGGATCTGCAATTTGGAAAACAGTAGCCATTATTAGCTCAAATACTTCTCCATTTTCTCTTTCTTGAACTCCTGCCATTTCAATTATGCATATGCTGCCCTTTTTGATGTTGTCTCACAATTCTCAGATGCTCTGCTCTGTTTTGGTCATTCTTTTTCTTTGCATTTCAGTT